CGTAGGAGGGGCCGGGGGTCGGGGCAGAGGAGAAGGGCCGGGCTGGTCTGGGCTCCAGCCGCGTGAAGCTCTGCGGGTCTGAGCTCTCCCTCGCCCCCTGCTCCACACACTGGCTCAGGGTCAGTCAAGGGGATGGGGGCATCGGGCCGGGCCCCCCCAGACCAGGGGCGCTCCAGGCCGAGCCTCTGGGGTCGCTGAATTGGAGATTTCTTAGTCCTGTCTCCAGAAGGGTGTAAGTGTTTTCCAACTTTGTGTCGTCGCTTACTCAAGCCAACCTCTAGCAAGGGAGGCTTATGTGCTGCCATTTCACCCATTACCACAGTGGCAAGGGGGGTCCCGCACCCAGTGGGACACCATCAGCAAGAGACACCGTCCCATTGCCACGGAGCAGCCTGGTATGTTCCCTCTTACAGCCAGTGTGGCCTTCCAACATGGACCTCTCGTGCATGGCCATCTGGAGATGGCAGCTGAGGATCACGGTCCTCCCCACAGCACAGGAGGTTTTGGTTGGTGTTTGCAGGTGAAGCTGGCCAGGCTCAGCCCTGGCACCAGCAGCTCTTGCTGCTGCTGGCTCCGGCAGCACTGGTACATGTGTCAGGATGGGCTGAGGCTGCCAGGCAAGGCAGCTGGCCAGCACGGAGCCAGGTGGGTGCAGGTGGGGCCTGAACTGGGGCCACAGAGCCAGCCATGCCTGGGGCAAACCTGAGCTATGGTTACCAACAGCTCCCATTTATCAGAGTTTTGACTGAAATACATACAGCGGGGGAGGCCTGGTTTGCATGGACATTTCTGAAATCAAACTGGATGAAATGTTTCATTTTTTTCCCCCTACACTTCTTTCAGAGGTTGACCTAAAAAACACCAGTGAAATAACCAGAAGATGGAAGAGGTGTTTCATTCTGGGCTGAATAAAATGCTTCAGGTTTGTGCAAACTACTTCCCCCTGCAACACCACTGGCCTCTCCCTCTCAGCTTGGCACACACTTGGCTGTTTGGCTGCCAGATCTCAAAAATCTGTCCTCTGCCCTGATCTATCCTGGACATCTGTTGTTTTGGGAGATAGGGCATGTTGAATGTTGGGCTGCTTGGCTCTGGGGAAGTCACCTGAGAGGTACACGTTCTACTTCCTCATCCTCCAACTAGCCAGCTAATGCCCCCTGCTCTTCCTGGCGTGAGCAGCTCCAGTAGCTCACTCAATGCTCCTGAACGCAGGGAGATGTAAACCTCCCTTTGCTGTGGCAGTGGCAAGGTTTCACTAGTGCCCTCCAGCAGCCTGAGAGCGTAATGGGCACTGCCAGTTATTAACTAAATATTTGTGGGAGGATAGTTCAGCTTTTGCAAGCCAGTCTCAGCCTGCTCCATTTTCAGACATCTCTCCAGCCTTCCCATCCCCAACAGTTGGAGGTGGTCCGGTCCCCACCAAAGCAGCTCTGCCAAGGCCAGGAGCTTTGTGCATACTGCATCCTCCTCCACCTGTTTGTCTTGCAGAGTATTAACAGTCATCCTTGAAATCAGGTGTGGGCAGGGACACTGCTCTCCCAGAAGGTCTCAGCAAACACTATCCCCAGTTGTCACATATACGTGCAACTTAATAGTGCTTGAAGACACAGCTCTACTTCCCGGTTCTGGGGTTTTTCAAACCCTGCTTGCCCCAGCCCAGCCTCTACTACTCTTCTGTTTCTGACAACCCAAACCCAATCAGCTTTGTCACCTGCGGGCAGCTGGATCCCAGCAACTGTGAGCACAGCCTTTGCAGGCTTGGAAATTAGGCTGGGGAAATGCAGAGATGATGACGCCTCCACAGAGGGGACAGAGGCTCCTCAGTGGTGTGCTCCTAGTCCCAACAGGCACCACTCGCTGTAAGGACATCCCAAGCACTGTTAAAGACCAGAGACATCAGCAACATGCCCTAGCTGAATCAAAACCGCAGATAACAAATTTACATCACCGCTGCAGAGCTACCCTGTGGCGGGCAGCAGCTGTTTTAGCTGGGCTCTGACAACTGATGTTGCCAAGACACAAGATGCTCAGCTGCACAGCCACCTTTCAATACCTGTCAGCACAATCTTTGCACCCACACTGTTTTTCACTTTAACACCAAAAATAACTTGCATTAAAGGTTTAAGAGATACTATGCTTGAAGACCATGAAAGACCACAAATTTCTCTGCCAGTTCCACATCAGAACACACTTGTTCCTCTCCTCACAACAAGGTTAGGCCAGGGAGTATCTCACTCTCCTTCCTGCCAGGGACTGGCTTCTTTTTGCTGAAGGCCAAAGTGATGTTCTTCCAGGCCTCTTCTCTGCACCATCATGCAGACACAATAAGGATGCAGCCTCCTGGTGGAACCATATCCCAACAGCTGTGGCTGACATACCTCAGCTCTCCAGCACAGAAAAGACCTTTTTCTCCCCATCGCTGCTCCATGGTAGCCCAGACCCACTGTTGGTTTAGCCCCCTGCCCTTCAAGGAGAGGGGAGTGCAGAGCAAGCATGCCCATTGTGCCAATACCAAAACTGCTGAGAACAGGGATGCTACCCATGCCCCTGTTCCCCCGCACTGCAGTCCCTACTCTATCAGCTGCTGCTCTTCTGTACTCCTAGCACTCAACTTCCTGCTCTCTGCTATACCATCCCTGCGTCGATCTCTCAAGTCTCTGCAAAAAAACCTTCTTTTTACAGTGTTCATCATTGTAAGATCCTCAGCTCTATTCTACAGACTGCCACATCCCCTTGAGCTTCTTAAACTTAACTTCATTTCTCTCAGGACAGATGCCACAGCTTTAGTTCTCTTGGTGATCAGCACTGGGGATACCTGCTTCTAGCCATTGAGGCATCCCTGAAAACAGAAACCTTAAGAGATTAAAAACTTGCAGCTGAGCAATTGCAATCACTAACTTACCAGGAGCCTTGAGGAGATGCAGAGACCAATGTCTCTTTTGCACAGTCATGATCCTCCTCAACAGAGGATCCTCCTGAGCTCAGGTTCTGCCTCAGCTTCCAGCCACTAGAACTGTAGGGAACTGCAAAGACCAAGAAACTCAGCTGTTGGGACTGCAAGCAAGCAAGGAATAAAGAAAAGGGGCAGGTGAGAAACTCTCTGCATCCTCTCACTGCAGATTTTACAGCAGTGCTTGAAGTCCTGCTCTGGACCAGACTCGGGCACTCTGCAATGCAGCAGTGGCTCTGCCATGATTGTGTGTCACGAGGCAGGGACAGCTGCTGACAGAGCAGAACAGCTTATGTAGAGGTAACACTTGGCTTAACCTGCTTAATCACCCGTTAAAGCATGTATCTAAGCATTAGCTACTACTTTCCACTACAAATGCTTCTGGCCCCTTCTAAAAGTGCAGGACTCGAGCCTGCAGCACAAGAAACCTAAGAATCCCAAAGAGCTGCTGGCTTAGATATTTACCAAAAAATCAAACTCTTAAAGGAATCCCACACTCCCACCATTTTACAAAACTTCAAAGTCCAGAGGATACAGAAGCTGCACAGTGGATTATACAGGTGACATTTATTAGAGCATTTCAAGTATACAATGATTTTACTGATGGCTGTGAGCAGCTAAGATGCAAACGGATGCCAGTAGGGAAGGGTGACCTAGAACTAGCAGGCTATGCAATCCTCATGGGAAATTAATGCTCTCAGCTGAAGAGGAAAATAATGTATCAGATTAAAGGATTGAGCGAGTTTGGGGGTGGGGAGGAGAAAATACAGAAGTTTTTATTTGAGATCACTTACTTAAATTGGCAACTCACAAGTAGCAGAAGCTGTCTGCTATTGCACTCTTCCCTTGGCATCCCAAGGGCCTAAAATAGCCAGCTATGTTTTTTCCACCAGGAAGAGACAGCATTTTCCCTGGTAAGAGTGGAGGCCTGCACTGGTAGGTGATTCTGGAGCCTAGCTCAGCACTTTAAGAGATTTAGATCCCCGGCTTTGCAAACTCACATGTGAGAACCAGGCTGTTGGACTTCCATCAGCAAGGAAGCAACGCAGACTTTCAGCAAGAGCACACTAAAACTATCAACTCCTCACTATAAGGCAGCTTTAGGTCAGGACTCTTTTTGGGTGCCTGAGCTGTTGTTTAGAAAAGCAAGGACCACATAGCAACAAGACTACAAGGTCCTCTGACAGTAACAAGGACTGTGCGTGTTTCCCAAGAACTATTTCTGAAAGATACATCCTTAAAAATATCTTAAAGCAGAGACTCCCCCGTTGATGCACAAAAAGGGCATGACTAAGGAGGAACTGAGCTATGAAGTGATGGACTTATAAAAAGCACCTTGCAAACCAGAGGCTAAGTACTTTGCCTGATTTGCAAGTTAGTAATTCTGCATTTAAGATAATAGCTGCCTCAATTGTGTCTTAGTCTCCTGCATTTATTAACAAAGAGCAGTTGAATTTAAGAGCTTAAAAAAAAAAGAAAATAATTTCAATGCTTAACATTTAAAAGGGTATCTCCAGAATAACTGTCCTTCAAGACTACTAAGCTCTGAGGTATGCGATGGCAACTTAGTAGTCAGGCTAGCAGAATGCAGTGGAGTTTCTATGCCTCCTAAATACACCTTCGTTAACCAAATGAATCACAATTCTTACTAGCAAAATTGCTTAAAAATTTGCCTTCAGCAAAGACCATTTAAAAATTCTGGTCAACAACTGATTTGCAAGTAAAACAAAAAAAATATTAGAAATGGTAACAACACAGTGTCTAATCAAATCAGATCTGATTACTACAAAAACATGCTAAGGACAGCCACTCAACTCACATCCTGGATGCTGCAGTGCCTTCCTCCATATACCCTAGAGCTGCTTTTTAAAAACTATTTGTCTAAAGGACAACAATGGAAGACAAGTCAGGATTTAATGACAGATTTCAAACAGAAGGGCATACATACATACATTAAATTAACAGATTCAACCTTCAGCACACGGGAGTTTGATAGAGTTACTGGCTAGAGTCACAGAAAAGTTCCAAATTTGAACAGTCTTGAACTACTTCCAAAAATTCCAATGGCTTTTTAATAGTTCCAACAATTAACGCGTATATAAAATGGAGACGGACTTCTCCAGCAGAAGAGTTGGGGCTCTTCCAGGCTAATCAGACCGCTGGTACAGAAGGGAGTTGATTTGACTTCCCCAGCCTTCCCACCAGTCCACTAAAGACTATGATTTATTAAAACCTTCTGGATTTACCGACGACTGATTTAATAGGCAAAAGCTGCAAACTGTGTCAATCATAGTGGATGGCAGTATAGAAGATTATCCAAACAACCTGTGGAGAGGAAAGGAAATGAAGGTTATTTTGATGCCTCTGGAGAGGGTTCAGACACAGAAAACAAGCCTCACTCCTTGCTCCTTGTAGAGGACTGGGGACTGAATCCCAGATTTGAGGTGGTCTCAGAGAGATGTTAGGATCACCACATGCTACAAATGGTGGCAATTCAACTAGCTCGCCTTCTGGTGTGACTAGCCTCTCCACATTAAAATCGCACCACAACCCTCCAGTGATTTAGAAACACCACCAAATCAAGTGCTGAGCATATTCAGAGACTTGGGGGAAGGGATTAAAGGAAAAACAAAGATACCCAAAACACCAGTTTGGGTGTAACTAGCTCTAGATGAAACTCCACCAGGACATCTGGGACAGAGGATGGGAAGGCCTAACAGTTAAGTGGTAGATGCAGAAGTATAGCTGCCTGTTCCTACCTCCTTTCCTACAGAGAAATCACATATATTAATACAGTATTTCATAGCCAGTAGCCATCAGATTTTGGGATTTTCTTTCCCAATCAACTCCACTTATTAGATGATGTTAACACATCTCTATTCTATCAGTGCACCACCTCGCCTGCTTTTCTTCTGCATCTTTTCCCTCAGGAAGTATACCAATACAATTCACTAATCAACTTAAAGAATGCAAGAGGCATTACCAGAAACAGTGCAAAAGATGTCATGAATCCTTCCTTTGTTAGCTCCCACGTCCCGCCATACTCCTCCTCATCTATCTGTTGGAAGCTACTGAAGTAGAGGTACAGAACACCAGCATTGATCAGGCAGAATCTGGAAGAAAGAGATTAGAAACTGTCATTTTGGTGATACAGGGTGCAGGTATCTAGCATGCCATACAGCAACGTAGCAGTGAAATGCCCTTCATCCGCAGCAGAGAGGAAGCAAAGAGGAACTCCGTTCCTGCAACACCTCCCAGGCAGCTCAGTCACTTCCTTAAAAGAGCACTTCCAGGTCAGCTTGCCATGGATGAAGTTCACCTCGCAAGACACAATCTACTCCTAGTAAGGCTCACTAGACAGTAGTCAGAAGCTGGAATTATCAGCAGATCTGCAAACTCTGCAAGTTTTCCTATCCTCAGATCAGCAGCAGTCCTGCTCCCACAGAGAATCCAATTTCCTTGTGTGTGCTACTTGATTTTGAGGCTGCTAAGAGGGAAGACTGTCAGACTCTATGCTCAACATTAGATCCCTGTTAGCGTCCCATGACCAAAGGCAGTGACTGAGAGATGAGAGCCAGAGAAGACTCAACAGCACCCTCAGAGCCATAGCACTGGGGTTCAACTTGAGAAACTCTTAGTGCTCTCTAGTCTGTGCCAACAGTTATGCTGCAGAGAGAAAAAGCATGATCCCTGTTTGTCCTTAGACATGTTTGGGTTTACCCCAAAGTTGGGGAACTTAGGGCTGAGGCAACCTGGGAAGGGACAGGTACATTTCCTGGAAAGAAGGCTGTGTAGGAAGGGCAATACAGGAAGATGTACACACAGGTTCACTGACCGGCAGCAAGCTGTGAGCAGCTGTGCCACTGCATACCACAGAGAAACCACACAACCAGTTCTAGAAGCTTTTAGTTTTTCCACTGCACACCAAATCACTTTTCTTGCCGATTAACATTTAGCACAGGAATTGGGTTAGGTGACTGAAGGTGCCCTGTGAATTAATGGATGACTAAGTAAGAACAATGCTTCTCAGCTACCCCTCATTTGTTACCGGGAGCACTTTAGATTTAACTGTTTGCATGTAGCTGTCAAGTTCCCGTTGGAACATCACTGCTTTACAGCCCCTTTCCTGTTAATTTCAAACTTTTTCTTTTTTTCGTAGAGACACTTGCTGCTACTCCCTCCACTTTCTTGCCACAGCCAGGACAGTCGGGAGGAGGGACAAGACAAGTCAGTTTTGCCTAAGAAAAGCTGTGATGTTGTGAGCTTGACTAGGAGACCTTGACTAGGCAGAGACATTTGCAAACAGACTCCCCAGAGCAGACACAGCATCTTCCCATACGTGGTGTTCAGAGAGCCGGGCTGTGTTTCCCATCTCTGGTGTCTCTCCAGAGGCTTTCAGGGACATGCCAGAGCGAAACAAATTTTCATTTCATAACTCAGAGAGCTCACTGCAGCCTTTGGACATCTGCTGGGAGGTGACCTGAATCTCATGTCTCGGTGGGAATCCGATGCATACATACCCTTCTCAGCACTGCCTTCCCCCCCCACACCATGGCTGACAGAACAACTTCAGCAAGCTTTGGAGCGCGGCAGGAGCACTGCCAATGGTGCCACTTTGCCTGCTTGTTACCTATGGTCTTTGGTGTTTTTAAGAAACCTTTTCTTTTTCAAAGAGAAGCTGCCCTTCTTGTTGTCCTGGTTTCAGCCAGGATGGAGCTGGTTTTCTTCGCAGAGGCTGGTGCGGGACTGTGTTTTGGATTTGGGATGAGAAGCTGTTGATAGTGTGCTGATGTTTTGGGTTGCTGCTGAGCAGCCAAGGACAGTCCAGCTTCTTGTGCTGGCCTTCCAGCGAGTAGGCTGGGGGTGCCCGGGGAGCTGGGAGGGGACACAGCCGGGACAGCTGACCCAGACTGGCCAAAGAGATATTCCCTACCATACGACGTCATGCCCAGTACATAAACTGGAGCTGGCCGGGGGGCGGAAATCGCTGCTCGGGGACGGGCTGTCGATCACGGGGTGGTGAGCAATTGCTGTATTGGGCATCACTTGTTCTTGTACATTCCTTTGTTGGTATTATCATTGTTGTTTCCTTCTTTTTTTTCTGTCCTATTAAACCGTGTTTATCTCAACCCACGAGTTTTTTCCCAATTCTCTTCCCCGTCCCACTGCGGGAGGGGGAGTGAGCGAGCGGCTGCGTGGTGCTTAGTTGCCGGCTGGGGCTAAACCACGACACTTGTCTAACTAACTAACAGAACCGCCCCTCTGAGGAGGGCTTCTGACTCAAAGAGCCTACCACATCTTCCCTTCTATGGGCCTTACTTCTTAGGTGGCCCCTCAAGGCACCATACTCATCGCCCCTATTCACACATGCAGGAACAGGACACTTCACAAGTCAATTAAACCTCTTGTTCCCTTCTTCTATCCCTTCCCCTTTAATAATAACATAAATACTAATTTTAAAAAGCATTAATCGGGCTGAAGAGAGAGAAAGAGGCCGGTGAAGACATGCTATGTTTTGTAGGAATTTCATGACAAACAACAGCCTGGAATGCAACACTGGCTTTAAGACGCACGGCAGACAGTGACTCTGTTTGGCCAGCCCATTGTTTATAGCACAACTTTAAACCAAGTAAAGTCCAAATGTGGGAAAGTACATGAGACAGAAAATGAAGTAAACCTTACACTGCTATTCCCACGAATCCCTTCAGTGGAACTACTCCCCAGATGATTCCCAAAATAACTGCAATGATCTGCCGGAACCAGTAGATCACATCTAAAAATTCGTCCTGAGGAGATAAAGCACAAGAAAGATTGGCATTTACTATGTTTCCTTTTTTTAAAGCATCATACAGTTAACAGGTGAAAATTTAACACACTGAACACTTAGTTTTCCATTCAAAGTGTAAGATATTGTACTCGGAGCAGATGAAAGCAGCTTATGGCATCACGCACCCTGGACTTCTCTGCTTCCAAACTAAATACATGGCTTTGTCCTCCAATGGGCTAACTGCAGAGCCAAACAAGTACCTAGTCCTCACATTTACTAAAGATTCAACTCTACAAAAATTCACTGGAATAAAAGTTTAAAGAACTGTTTATGCTTTAAGGCTGTTAGAACCACTCTCAGTGCCCCAGGCCTTCCCCTGCCCAGAACCAAGTGCTACCAGTACCCAGTACTCGCACCAACTCCAAACCGCAAGCCATATCTCACACATACTGCAAGTGCATCTGTATTCTTTCAGAGCAGCAGTAGTCATTCCTGTCTGCTCATAGGGCCGATACAACTGTAAATATTACAGCTGGACAATGCTGACTCATGCTTTAAATAAAATTCACTTCTACTCACATGTTTTTTTTCTAACCTCCCCAAGGATGGGATTGCCTCAGCATACCCTCAAACACCAACAGTCCTTTTACTGTAGGTTGTGCAAAGTTGTTTGGCTCCATGTGGAAGACTAGAATCCATGTCAGATATGGCTATTTCTCTCAGTCACTAGATTTCTCAGTCATTTTAGCCTTTGGTTCTCATCCTATTGCATCAAAACATTGGCACAGCCAGTCATTGCTCCCCTCGCTAAGTCTGAGATTCCTGCCCAGTTTGTCAGAAGGGGATGAGGTTGAGTACAGGAGAGCCCCACCAGTTCCGTGAGCAACAGCAACTGGTAGAAAAAAAAGCAACACAGATTCATGTCTCCCAGGGAAAAGCAGGGCAGAGTCTGCACCTTCTCCACACTGAAAGGCAAAGCCAGCAGACCAGGGAGCAGATGTCCCACTCCACTCACGCAGCCACGTGCCCCAGCCATGGTAGGGATACGGCAGGACCTGGGATGCTGCAGGAGCTCAGAGCACCTTGTGAGTGTGCTGCTGGGGGGCAGCAGCAGGAAGAGGCACTGACCAGGAGCGTCACAGCATGTGGGAGATACGCACAGGAAAAAGGCTTCACTAGTGCAAAAAACACCGGGAAGTCTCTGGCTGACATGTTTTCACTCACACTTGCAAGGTTTGCTAACAAACACAAGCAAAACATGCAAGTTGAGCACAGACATGAAGTTTTCTAGAAACAAAATTGCTTTTTGGACATGAGATGGTGAGGCTAGGAACAGTAAAGCAGATTGCAAACGGCTAAGCAACTGCTATGACATTGCTCTTCTGTGAGAGCATACCTGTAACGCTCTAATGGAGAAAGTCTCACAAGCCTGTTCTTGCTGCTGCCCTTTCCCTTCAGTCCTGACAGGTCAGCTGGATTCACAAAGATATTTCCCCCTGCAACTTCTTGAAGTAGATTATCTTTCTAGTTTCCTTTTAATTACACAAAGTAAATTTTTATTTAATCCTCAAATAGTTTAATACAAAGGCCAAATTTAACTGAGGTATCTTAATATACATGCCGCTTGTGTTTTCCTTGGCTCCGTGGCCAAGTAGCAAAGCAGAACCGGGTCTCCTGTAGGCTATAGCACAG